CTGTTTTTAAGATGGCTTCCTGAAAAGCAAAATATTCGGATCCCTGGAAAGAATGGGGAAGTGGACGCTACCCCCAGACAAACATCCTATGTTCCACAAATGAAATGGCTGTGGGTAAGAACTAGGGTAACCCCAACATGGGTTGGTCTGGCAAATGGAACCATGGCTCCAAAAACCTGCGGTCCAATTCCTTTGACCCATACTGGCCTCATTATGTTACCATGGTCAGAGTCACCCCTTAAGTGGTGGGTTAAAGGGAAACAACCCAAACCATTTTATGACTTTGATAACCGTCAAAATAATGACCCCAGCCATCCCAAATCATTCTTTGTGCTATACCCAACATCATTCTTGGTGCTACCCTCAAATGCCCAGTGGCCATGGGGAATAAACGCATCCTTTTTTGGTTGGTTGACTTTCAAGGGGAACCCTTCCCAAAAAAAGGGAAAAGGGCACCACCGGGCAACTGGATACCTGCCCCTAGGTCCTCCAGTAGAGAGGTTAGAATAAGTTGGCACCATTTCTTTTTTCTGGAGTCTATTTTAGCAGGGGAACCCTCCCCCAAAAAAACGAAACGGTACAAGGGCACTACTGGGGGAAGGCCCTCAACGAGAGTCCTCCCATCTTGATCGAGACCCCGGCGTCGCTGCCCCGCAGCTCGGTCTGGCAAGACCTGACGAGAAGGAAGTTTTTGGTCTGGGAACGGAGAACCAATCCGCGGGGCGTTCTCAAAATGGCTGTACCAAAATGGCACCCTGGTAAATGGAGCCACAGACTAAAACCTGCGTAACCCTAACTCTTTAATTTTGGGCCACACCCACATGGATGGACGAAATGAGCTTCTCAAAATGGAAAACCGCGGAATAAAAATCCGGTATTTGGACGAGATCCAGTATTTTACAAACACTGGAATGATGATTCCCCTGGTAATAACGATAAAAGCAATGGTTTCAGCGTGCTGCTGTCTTGCGCGCCGTGTTACCTCCAACATCTTCAAGGCCTCTGCTGAAATTGCTGATGCCTTCTGCCAGACCGCGCCTCTCGTAGGACTCGTGGCTATCCGGCTCAACGTCCACCTCGCGTCAGATCCCTCCCATGAACATGGAACCGGATGCCCGGGGTCCTGGTTTGGACCATTTTCCTGTTAAAGGGACCAGGTCCTGAACGTCAGGCTCCATGTGCAAAGGGTGGGAGTACTAGGATTCCGCAAATGCACAGGACTTTAAACAAGTAGAGACTGGAATGAGGCCACCACGGCACCAGTTCTCAGCTTTTCCGTGATTGGTGATTTGGTTTGGCGGTTTGGAGGTTTGGGGGGGTTTCCATTTACCCTCTACAAGACGCATGGGTTCAACTCTAAGTCCAACTCACCAACTCAAACCACCAATCCAGGGGTACCTGAGCCACAATCAAAACCCATGCTTCAAGAATTAAGAAGGCGGATCTCCGCAGCTATTTATGTATATTTCCTGGGATTGGCCCTCACTAACCTTCATCTACCCGAATCGGTTTTGAGGACATGGCTCACCTGAAGTGGTCATTCCCGCTGAAAGTCTGTTGCCTTCTGCGCCCTCGACAGCGGACTTCGGGGGCTCCGGCAATTGCTACGGAGATCTCCTGCTGGAAGTTTAAGCCTCGGAACCGGGACTTGGATCTTGAGGCAAAAAATCCACATGATGTGCAATAGTGAAATATATAACCACATACGTAAGCAAATCCATACAAATTATACGACTAGATTTGCAAGCATTTGCATAATTACATATTACTTCTATATATATATATATGTATAATTATATATATACACATACCTACACTGCAACGGCCAACGCCAGTTCACGTCCCGGCCAAGTCTATTGACACGTCGGCCAGACAGTCCCTCAGTTGTGTCGCCAAAGGAACGCCCCGTTTGTTTCAAGTCTCTGCACTTTGACCGCTCAGCTCAGCAGCTGGGCAGCTCAATTCCCACTCAGGCCATGGCTGCGCTCGGCTCCGTTCAAAGGCGCGGCGCGCTGCTTCTCAGACAACTCCTACCATGAAAAAAGGATCCACGATGCCAAGAATGTGTCACTTGCTTCAAGCCGCACCTGAGCAAATAGCATGTCCCTTCAAAACAGCGTCCGCAAAATCCCATACAAAAAGCGCCTTGGTGCCGAGTGAGTGAGACTTGAGCAATGATTCACAACAAGGGCATCCTTGGCGAGTAACACGTGTAAGGAGGCAGAAAGTCAGCTGCAAAATGTTGGCTGTCGGCTCTCTCTTGCTGCAGACCGTAGCTACCCCCGTCCTTCAAGGGTCCTTCTGGAGACGCTTTCGATGCACCTGCACCCGCTTGGATAGCCTCTCTTGAGACAACCTGAAAATATGCTGCAAATGTATATTTCTTTTCCGGTGGGAGTTCTTGTGACACGTTCTGTGAGTATTCAGCATTCAACGAACCAACACTGCTCACAGTTCGAGATATGAATGAGCACAAGCGGAACCCTTCATTCAAGTCATCTAGGCATGGCCTCATAATTCAAAAGGCTGGATCCCATGTCTGCCACATGCAGACAGTCAGAAGAAGGATTTATACACAGCACTTCTCACTTCCTGAGTGGATTGGCCCAAAAAAGTCCAAACTGTCCTTTCCCCAAAATTCACACTCTTCCCAAAAAGTGTTTCAAGTCCACGAACTCGGGGAGTGAGGCTTTGCTGCCGCGTTTTTCCGGCTCCCCGAACTTTTGGTCACGCCATCAGCCTCCAGCCAGGATCTCTGCTACCAAGCTGTCCACATTGCTTGCCAAGGCTCCCTGCACGGGGACTGCAAAGATCCTACTTTTAATGGGGCAGGGTACTTGGCAAGTGACCCCCTTGGTCACCGTGTCAGGGTCCACGTGAGGTTGCTTGGAACCCCAAGAAGCAACGTGTTGACAAGAAATGGAAACAAGACATCATTGATCCATTGCACAAGTTGCTGCAACAGCACACAGCCTTCACTTAACTGTCCTCAGATCGCCAGAAGTCTAACTTTTAGCCGCGCTTAATGGAAACCACGAAACCCAAGGCTAAACACCTACGGAACCGGACGGGGACCCAAGTTCACTTGAACATTGGAGTGTGGGTCTATGCAAAATGGAACCCTAAATGGAAATAAGTTGATTAAAAGCTGCGGTCCAATTCCTAGTGGTTTCATTTTGGGTGTGGGTCAAAATTAAACCACCAGAGGACCACAGATTTTGGTCCATGTTTCCACTCGCCAGGGTTCCATTTTGGGTACCTATTTTTGACCCACAGCCATTTTGACCCCCCAGCTGAAAACTGTCGAGGCGGTCTCCTGCCCCACTTTCTGCTGCGCTTGGCGCTCG